AAACCATTTTTTAACTAATTGTATCTGAGTTGGAGATCGTGATATGTCATGTCATTTACCAAACCTCTTTATACTATACGATGTTGCAGGAAGCTGGAGCCTACCCGGGAAGCAACGAGCACAAGGCAGGGTACACCCTGGACGGGGTACCAGTCCATCGCAGGGCGAGTGCAAGCCAGTCATGGGGACAACTGGGGACATGGGGACAATTTGGAGACCAGGGTAAAGGCTGAGGAGGAAAATTTGGCCCAGACACTGGGATAACTCCCTACACTTATCGAGAAATGCCCAGGGATCTTTAGACCACTAGGAGTCAGGCCCTCAGTTTTACATCACATCTGAAAGACAGCGCCCACTACAGTATAGTGTCCCTGCCTCCATACCTGGGCATTAGGACCCCACACAGACAGCAGGGTTGGCATCCCCCGCTGGTCCCACTAACACCACTTCCAGCAGCTCCCAGGAGGTCTCCCATCCAGATACTGACCAGGCTCGCACTGCTGGGCTTCAGTGGGTAGCCAGTTGAGAACTGCAGGCTGATATGGCTACTGGCAAGCATGATATGCTGGAATTATATTAGGATATAATAAAGCATTACATAGAAATATGTAAATATCCCTAAGCATTGGCTTTCCTGTGATGAGAAAAGAATGACGATACTGAAGGGAATGTTATGGTGTCCTCTGCTGGTGAATTAAGGTGATACACAGAGCAGAAAACTGATCGCTTGGAATTGTTTTCACCCCCTTTGTGATACAGTCTTGCTCATTACCCAGTTGGAGATTCATGTACAAGCCTTCATTGCTCTCACTCCTAGTGTCTCCTTTAATCTGAAGAATAATGACAAACAGCCCAGCAGTCCAGTAGGCTTTGGAATCCTGTAAAACTGTCCACTGTAGTGTGATCAGGCTCTAGAGGATTTTGAATTATCGTAGAGCACACCCTAGTGGACTATATGCTGTACACCGGAGTTCTTGTAATGCAAGGTATGCCTCATCTTTGCAGTTTGTTGTCACGAACCGCACAGAAGCATGCAAGCGCTCCCGCATTCCCACGAGCTCTAGTCTCTCTAAATGCCCACAAACCAATTAACACCACATACTAGTTAAACCCTCACTCCCCTCATCTACCTCGCTCACTATTGAGGTTTCCTCCCTGAGGTCTGAAACTAGTTACTAGTCTCTTTTATTATCTATATTACCTTTTGGCTACCGACTCAACTCTATCCATTTGACCACAACTTCGCCTTCTGTTTTTGGTACCTCGATACAGAACCCTACTGGCTTTGACTTCTCGCTTTCATTTAAGACCACGTTTGGTACTATACTGTTTTGGAACTCAATTTACCTCCTGACCAGACTCCACTGGAGTAGCCACGCACAGGGTCCTACCTCCTGCTGCCTGATGCCTCCTTCCTTGTGACATTTGTAAAGTTATGTGCTTCCTAAAATACTACATCAAGGTTATTGGAAGATTCCAAGCATGCAGGTTAGACCCAGACCTTTTTTCTCATAAATAGCATGTATTGATCCTAATTAGCTGTAATTGAACTTTTTCATGATAGTGTGCCTGCAGTACAGTAGCTAAGTTAGATCCTAATGAAGGTCATAGAGGGTTATTATTATTAAAGGTTATTTTGTGTGACTCTCCTTGCTAAGGGAGTGGCAGCTTGACTGATTCATCCTTATTCTCATGAGGAATGAGCTGGGGAGCTGCTATAAGGGTGTGGATGGGGTGCTGAGAGGCGTGTCAGAGAAACGTAAAAAAGAAATCCAGAACTAAAGATATACCTGTAAATGTAAGAGTGTACATAGAAAGATCAAGTAGGCAGCTGTGTTAGCATACATAGGCTGTAAACGAGCAGGTAAAGGTTTATTCCATGCTGAACGGAAAAAGAAAAGAGACGTAACATTTTGTTGCCGTGGAGTCTCCTTCATGTTCCTTTCAGCCTGGAATAACCCTTTACCTGTTCCCCTACCTAGAAAGATAATCTTCATCCTGAACTGTTATAAATTCCATTTACAGTTTATAAAGCAAATTTCTAATATCTTCATTTTATACTGTTATAGTAAAGCCTGTGAGTGAACATCAGAGTTGTTCCTTAATTGTATAAAACTTTATTACGAGCTAGTGAATAATTATATATGAACAACGAACATTTGCTTTATTTAAATTTCAATAATTCAATAATCACTCAATGTTTTTCTGACTTGACATTCTAGGGGGTGACATAGGGTATTTGTGTTCAGCTGTGGCTCACATAGGACAGTTTTGTTTAATGTGCTTGATTTATAATAGAACTTAAGCTCTTTTCTCACCACTTATTTTATCCGTTTCTCTGCTGGCACCCAAAGGGGGCATCTTCAGTAGAAAGAGGAAGCAGTATTTGTACGACATCTGTGTCAGTTTGTATCATTGTGAGTCTCGAGCACAGTAATACACAGCCGTGTCTTCTGTCTTCAGGTTATTCAGCGTCAGTGAAGACCTGCTGTTCGAGGTGTCTCTGTTCAGAGTCAGTCGTCCTTTCACACTGTCTGCGTAATTTGTGCTGCCATCGTACCCGAGCCACTCCAAGCCCTTTCCCGGAGCCTGGCGAACCCAGTGAATGTAGTAGCTTGAAAAAGTGTACCCAGAGGTCTGACAGGTGATGCTCAGAGACTGTCCAGGTTGCTTCACTTCAGAAGAAGTCGATGGAACCAAGGAGACAGAGAGAGTCCCTGTAAAAGAATCAGTTTCAAAAGAATTGTAAATTGTGTTGTGTCTACTTAAACATCATGGCACGTTACAAGTATATTTGTGAACATACCCTTTAAGAAATGCATTAAAAGGCAAATACACACAAAGGTCTCCATGTCTGGTTCAGAAAGGCAGGTCTCACCCTCTGTCTTTGCTGGTGATTCAGCCTTGGTGAGGCTCTTAAATACAAGACTAGTAATCTTGATTTGCATACGAGTCTCACTGCCCACAGGACTCACTGAATAAAAGCTACAGGGTTGAAACTGTCTCAGTTTTCAATACACTTCTCTGTAGAAGACACAGGTGGAAACGTTTTCAAATTGGAGAACAGGAGATACTTCTTTACAGAAATGATTATGGGGATCTGGAATGAGCTACCAAACCATTTTGTTCAAGTTCTTTGTAAAAAATTGTATGTTCTTATCTTGAAATGCTTCACTTTATTTAAATGATTACTGATCTACAGCAACTGCACTACAAATGTCATGCATAGGTACTTTTAAAAGTGTAGCGCAGTTCTCAATTGATCTTTCACAGCTGAAATGTTCTTGGAAACCTAAAATCAAAAGGATTCTAAGTATTTTGTATCTGAATACAAGGTAAGAGTTTTGCATGAGATCACAGAAGTGGACATGTTCACATCTGGATATACCATTCATTTTATAATCAGCAAATTTCTCTGCTTTGCATAGTATAATTCATAATAGGAATCTTAAAAACAACAGTGAAAACATTCATGATAGTAACACAGAGAAGAGTGAATTTCACAACTATAAATATCAAACAGTATTCAGATTATCTCTATGTGCCATTACAATTCACAGTACAGCTAATTATTTTTTACTTTAATTATTTTACTATAGCTTTCTTTTTGAAAGGTACGACTAATTTTTAAAAAATGGTCACTTGTAATCTTAATTAAATGGGAATACTGTCACCTGTGGACTATTTGATGAACATCATCGTCACTGTTCACTTTAGTGAGATGACTGTCACTTCTCTGACTCTAAATGTTCCTTAATCTGGAATTTATATATTATCTTGTGATGTAAAATCAGGATGTTTATCGATGTCTTTCTAGGTGGAGATATCAAGTCTTTTTCTCAATTTGAATATAATGGAATCATTTTCTTTCGAATGCAGGAATTGTTACTGAAAATTACCAACATACCAAAAGCAAGTCTTGTCTTGGTGCATGTTTCTAGAGCTATGGTTCCAACAGCTTTCTTACATGGTGAAAAAGATCCTGGTCTAAGACAAGGCTGTATCTGCTCTGACAGAAGGAAACTGAAGCAGTCAGGATCCTGGATTCAAACCAGCAACTCTAGCACAACCAGCACAACTCTCTATGTAGTTGAAATGTTCCTGCTGCTGTGTCTGTAGAGAGAATCAACTGTCCCATCTATTTTGATCATTTCCACAGCTCATATTTTGCTTTTGCCTGAGGTTTAAGAATTGTTCTGGGATGGATAATTCAAATGCCTTTGAAAAAGAACCTCTAAGAAATCTGAAAAACCTTTTAAGATGTAATTAATCAAGTTGTTAATATCTTCATACAAACAATACTATCATGAAGAACACAATAAGTATCTGCATTGTAATCTGCTAATAGTGACACAAGAAAGGACACATTGTAATCTGTCAATGCATCAGTGAATCAGTGTTTCACTTGTGATAAGGACAGCAGCAGAGGGTTAAATAAGAGAAGACACAGGCAGATTTGTATGAACTTGCAGGGACAAATATTTAAATAGCACTGACCTCTGGGAAAATGGACTATTATCAGTCCATCAGAGTGAATGTTTCAAATACAGCTGCCCCATTTGCAATCTGAAACAGATGTATGATTATCATTGACCTCATATTAAAGCCACTACCTTTATCTACATGGAATACATCCACTCCAGTCAAGGCTCTGTTTTTCTCCACAGGCACTTATTCCAATTCACTGTCTGACAATTAGATTCTTGTTTTCGGAGAGTTTTCTAAATCATGGCTAAACTAGATTCTAACTTTCAAATCCAAGAGACCTTAGTGAATCTGTTTGTCTCTTCCAGGTCTGTGAGTTTAATGCCTTTTAAACATATCAATCACTTACTAAATAAATTATATGTTGAACAGATGCAAAATAATGGATTTTTGTGGGTTTAACAAAAGAAGATTATGAGTAAAATGACCTCCATCTTGTAAACATTTTGTAGCTTTAAATAACTTCTGTCACGCCCGACATCTCTCCCTAGAGAGCGCTCCACTACTCCTGTTATTGTTCCTGTAATTGTTGCTAACTCCCCAGGTGTACCTTGTTATGTGTATTATTTAAAGACTAGCTCCTTCAGTCCTCTGGGCTCAAAATTACAGTAAGTATGTCGCGAGGCCTGTCTAGCACCAGGAAACCCTACGTCTGTCTCCTGAGGGCATAGGCCTCATCCCCGACACCTCCCGCTTCCTGAGCCTGGGGTCTAGAGGATCTCGCCCCGTCACCCTTGGACCTCTATGTTTTGTCTGTCCGTGTTTTCCCCCTTCCCGGGGATTTTAACCTTGTTGTGTCCCAGGATGGATTTCTCGCCGCTGGACTCCCGGACTGTGCCCTGACCTGCCTTTGGACCTGTTTGGATTTAGATGCCATTCTTTGTCTCCCCCGTTCACTGTCTCACAGACTGTTACCTGTATATTATTTTGTGCACTATTAAACCCCTGTGTGTTTTCCCATAAACCGCCTCCTGTTTCCTCCAGCTTCTACTGCATAGCATAGGGTCTACTACAAAACCCGACACAGACATCTTTCCATGGTTGAAACAACTTCATAGATTACAATAGAATAACACAACACAACATAACATGGAAATTTACAATTGCTAGGTGGATGCCACATTAAAAACATGTAATGTGTACAAGACATCATTTAGTAGTAATTATATTTTACAACTTTGTGAAACCTGACGTTTATTAACATCTCACAGCAGGATAAATATGTGTTGAATGGACACTGAGTCCAAATTGCCCAAATAACTCTTGATATCACGAAACACTCAATAACGATATCTTTGTATTGAAGATAAAAAAGAAATATGCAGAATACAATCATCAATCAACAGTGATGTCGAGTATTGAACATCTTCAAAGATGCCTTAATGACTATCAGGTTGCTGGTTCAATCCTCTGGCTGGCAGAGGAATCCTACTCCGTTGGGCCCCTGAGCAAGGCCCTTAACCCCAACTGCTCCAGGGGCGCCGTACAATGGCTGACCCTGTGCTCTGACCCCAAAGAGCTTGTACGGCTGTCTGTGTGTCTGTGTCTCATGGAGAAAAGCTGGGGTATGCGAAAAGATGAATTCCTAATGCAAGAAATTGTATAGGGCTAATAAAGAAACATTCTAGATTATTATTATTATTATTAGAAGTGGGGAGAGCTACAGCATGCAGGGTCAGGATGTATCATGTGTTTACTTTGTGGGATATTTCTGAAACAAACCATTAAGAGGAAAAGCACAAAACCGTTGGAGATCCCATCTGTTTCCTGAAATTGAGTCAAGGCATGACGAATGGAAACACACACACACTCTTACACAGACAAGTGGGGTTTTACAGGAGATAACAACTAAACAATATTCACATGTTCATTTGTTTTAGTACTTAAAGGACACAGGATACAATTATAAATACTTTTAAAAACAAATAGCTCAAACTTTGATAAAGTCCATATTCCATATCAAGGGATCAAGAGATAAATTGCATTGTTAGTGTTGTTTGGGATTGATTTATTTTATTTGTATATATATTCCCAGGATTTGTAATGCAATCATGAGCAACAACAAGAGGACTTGTCACTCTGTGTCCCTGGTGAGTGTTGTTTTTATTATAGAAATGTGCAGTAATACACTGAAAACAAAGGGAAGATTCTAAAGGAGTGAATAGGTTATCAGTGCATGAGTCTGGAGTGTATAACTCTGGTCCTTGAGGAGTGCAGAATGTTCTGTTTTTTTTCAATTTACTGTATGTCCTATAACGCGATGTATTACACTGTATTTTATTCTAGTTCAACAGTGATACCGACCTACATATGTCATTCTGTTTATATGTAATTGAATTTCAGTAGTGAATATTGGTTTACAATATGCTGCACTGTGAATTTAATTCAGAAGTGATACTGATTTATAATGTACTGTATTGAGATTGTAGTTAAATAGTGACATTGGCCTGTAATACATATGTGTTTTAGTTGTTGTATTGTATTGTCATTGTAGTTCAGCAGGAATGATAGTTTATACTAAAAGGGAGTAGAGGACCTAATTCCTAGACTTCTTTTTGTTAGGTACTGTGAACTAGTTTCTCAAACAAAAATTCAAATGATGTGAAAATGATTGTATCATTGTAAGATGGAGCTGCAAAAGAGCTTTGTTGAGTTCCTTATACCCAGCTCATTTTGTGCTTACTGTTTTTGTACAGAAGTCTTGCTGCCTTCCCTCACTGTGGTCTTGAGCACCGTAATACACAGCAGTGTCTTCAGGCTTCAGGCTCTTGGCTTCTAAGTACTGCATGTTACTGGGTACGTCTTCAGTGAGGACAAACTGCCCTTTCAGAGATTCGGCATAAAGTGGTTTATTTCCTGAGCCACTGTTTACTCTCCCAATCCACTCCAGCCCTTTCCCAGGAGCCTGGCGCACCCAGTGCATGTAGTAGCTAGTCATTTTTAATCCAGAGATTTTACAAGACAGTTTGACTGATTCACCAGGCTTCTTCCCAACTGCTGGAGACTGAGTCAATG